GAGTTTAGATATTAAGCATGAAACATCTTCTAGTAAGTGTCTACAAAGTTTGTTCAAATTAAAAGCCCTGGGGTCAAAACTGGCCCGGCCCCAGGGGTGTCATTGTTTTTAACTATATGTGTTTATAGTAAAAACTTAAAAAAAAATCTCTTTTAAAAAGCCCAATGAGCTAGAGCTTAGATGTTTAGCATGAAACATCTTCTTATGGGTGTCTACCAAGTTTGTGCAAATAAAAGCCCTTGGGTTAAATTGGCCCTGCAACGTCGGGGGTGGTGGGGGTCTATATACAGGTGAGCGACCTCAGGGCCATCATGGCCCTCTTGTTTAAATAACTTAATAAAAATGATTTTTGACATTATATCGATGTGACACATTCAAAAATCAAGTCACACTTGAACTTCCGTATTCATAATATGATTAATAGATGGCGTTGTCTTTCCAACGACATTGTCTTTCATGGATGATTTTTAGCTCACCTTGCACAAAGTGCAGGTGAGCTTTTAGGATGGCCAACCAAATGGCGTCCGTCGTCTGTCGTCCGTCCACATTTTAAATATTCTAAGGACATCTTCTATGATACCGCAAGGCCAATGTTAATGAAACTTGGCAGGAATACTCTTTGTATGAAGCTCTATCAAGATTGTTCAAAGAATTCCATTTCATGCAGAACTCTGGTTACCATGGCAACCGAAAGAAAAATCTTTAAATATCTTCTTTTAAAGAACCGTAAGAGCTAGAGCTTTAGATATTTTGGCATGAAACATCTTCTAATGAGTGTCTACCAAGTTTGTTCAAATAAAAAGCCCTAGGGTCAAAATTGGCCCCGCCCCAGGGGTCATTGATTTTCCCTATATGCATATAGTAAAAAACTTAAAAATCTTCTTTTAAAGAACCCAAAGAGCTAGAGCTAATATATTTGGCATGAAAACATCTTCTAGTGAGTGTCTACCAAGTTTGTTAAATAAAAGCCCTGGGGTCAAAATTGGCCCCGCCCCAGGGGGGTCATTGATTTTCCCTATAATTATGCATATAGTAAAAACTTAAAAAATCTTCTTTTAAAGAACTGTAAAAGCTAGAGCTTAGATATTTGGCAATGAAAAATCTTCTAGTGAATGTCTACCCAAGTTTGTTCAAATAAAAGCCCTGGGTCAAAATTTTGGTCCCGCCCCAGGGGGGTCATTGATTTTCCCTATATGCATCTATAGTAAAAACTTAAAAAATCTTCTTTTAAAGAACCCAAAGAGCTAGAGCTAATATATTAGCATGAAACATCTTCTAATGAGTGTCTACCAAGTTTGTTCAAATAAAAGCCCTGAGGTCAAAATTGGCCCTGCCCAGGGGGTCATAAGATTTTCCCTATATGCATATAGTAAAAACTTAAAAAAAATCTTCTTTTAAAGAACCCAAAGAGCTAGAGCTAAGATATTTGACATGAAAACTATCTTCTAGTGAGTGTCTACCAAGTTTGTTCAAATAAAAGCCTGGGTCAAAATTGGCCCCGCCCCGGGGGGGTCATTATTTTCCCTATATGCATATAGTAAAAACTTAAAAAATCTTCTTTTAAAAAACCCCGTAAGAGCTAGAGCTTAGATATTTGGCATGAAAATCTTCTAGTGATGTCTACCAAGTTTGTTCAAAATAAAAGCCCTGGGGGTCAAAACTGGCCCCGTCCCAGGGGTCATAGATTTTCCCTATATGCATATAGTAAAAACTTAAAAAAATCTTCTTTTTAAAGAACCCAAAAAAGAGCTAGAGCTAAGATATTTAGCATGAAACATTTCTAATGAGTGTCTTACCAAGTTTGTTCAAATAAAGCCTTGGGGTCAAAATAGGGGGGGGGGGGGGGGGGGGGGGGGGGGGGGGGGGGGGGGGGGGGGGTTGTGGGGGGTGGTCCCCGTTCCAGGGGGTCATTGATTTCCCTATATGCATATCCCGTCCCTAGATTTCCACTACTTGCCAGCTATTTCCACTGAAAAGGGTGGGCATTATGTGTAAAAAAGGTGAAATAACTGGAAAATGACAAAATTCACTCCATTTTCCCACTGTAGTGGCAAAATTACTGTACCACCAAACGCCACGTATCCTTTTGGCATTTAGGTGGCATTGAGTGAAATTTGAACAAGACTTTTTTCAAGGTGGCAAAAAGGTGGGAAATTGGTGAAAAATGAAACTTAGTTTTATTTTGAAGGTGGAAAAGATGAGTGGCTTTTAGTGGAAAAGTGAAAAACTCTAACTATTTTCTGGGTGGGCAAACATTAGTGGGAAAAAAACTTAGAAAATTTTGTGAATAACTTTTAGTCGGAAAAGGGAAACTCTTAACTATTTTCTGGGTGGCATAAAAATTGGTGGAAAAAACTTGAGAAATGATTGTGCATTGCAGGGGTTATAAGATTTTATTTAAGTTAAAGCCCAAAAAACTGAAATAAATTGATTCTAGTTTTATCAAAGCATCAAGTGAACTTTTTTGTCAAAAAATAGAAATAAATTAAAGTTTAACAGTTTGAAAATTTATCAGAAACTCGTATTTCTTAAAAATCTTTTATATGCAATACTAGAATGCTATGAACACATTCTGATACAAAGTCACTGCCCATAATGGTATGATAGTTCCAGCTGTAAAGTAGCAGGAAAAGACACTGAAATTTGGAACGAAAAATCACTTTTCCAGGCGTAAAACACACATAATTAATCAAGAGCAAGAAAAATTAGAAAAGTATGGGGTTACTTTAATTTCCATTTTTTTCTTTCTTATTTTCAGTTCTTTTCTTTAGTGATGTAAAATTTGACTTAAAGTCAAAAATGCCTATGTTCCATTCTATGCTTGTAAAATAAAATTATGGCTGTAAAGGTGTACTTAACTTTTTTTAGTTGCAATCTGTACATTAAATAGTTGAAATGTTCTTCAATGCCCAGAAAATGCATTTTTCTACATAAAGTTTGTTGTTAAAATCTGGTATGATATTTAATGTCAATCTTGAATAAAGTTTGACTTTGGTCTTTTCTTGTAATTAAGATGGTCTCTTTAATATTACTTTAAACTGATATCTGGTGAGTACTAACACTTTTCATGTAATGCTTACAATAATTAAAGTGAAAAATGCAATTAAAGTGAAAAATGCAAAGGGCAATAACTCCAAAAGTATGCAAAAGAGGTTATGGTTCTTAAACACAGCACATACTCAACAAAGATCTTATATCTGTGAAGTTTCAAATTAATATCTCCCAATACTTTTTAAGCTTAATGATCAAAACAAAAATGGAGAGGTACAAAATGGCAATAAACCCCAAATCATGCAATAAAGACGAGTATGGGTTTTCCTAGGCCTTGGTACTTCTCATCAATGAGATTTAGTTATAATTATGTGAACTTTAAATTATTGTATCAAACATTTTTTGTACTATATTTGGCAGATTAAAACTTTCAAAGGGCAAAAAACTCCATAACTTTGCAGGAGGAGAGTTATGTATTTTTAAAAGAAGAAACAAACATGAATCAAACTTGTTAACAATAATATTTCATAATGCTATTCAATAAATATACATAAAGGATACTTTTTTTGGCAGATTTGATGTTGGGCCGTTTGGGGTAGTGTTGATGACTGGAACTGTTTGATTTGTTTTTGTTAGGGGTAGGGATAGAAAAATAGCAGCCTCAAGATAATGAAGCACTGTGCTTGCTTATATTATACATACACAATATAGTATGCCTTTCGGAGGCTTTAAATCCTATTGTAAAAATAATGTGTGAAAAGTAAATAGCTAATAATGTTCTTGATAATTTCTTATAATCAGCTGGCTAGTAAATACTGCATCCTCTAAGATTTAATAACAAGGCATACAACACAGATCTGATAAAACTACTGCCCTCTTATCTAGTAATCTCTGCATGGGGGTTAATAGTTTCACTCAAGCTGACCGAGACTGTTCCATTTGATTATTTTGGGACGAGGCACATTATACATGTTAATATGTAGAATCTGTGTTTAAAATAGCATGCTAAATTATCTTTCAAAAACCTTATTTCTACTCAAATCCTATTTAGGTATTAGACATAGTTTATAATTCAATTCAATGTAGAATGTAAAAATTAAAAATGATGGGTGCTATGGTTTTTGAATAATCCCTCACAGTTTTAAAATTATAATGGAGACTTTCCAGTTGACGTTGTATAAGTTTGGAATCTCAAAGGAATTGAGGTCAGTTTAAGCTTGCAAACACAAAGGAAATGAATTGGTTTTGTAGCAATTCTGGAGATATCTAATTTTTGATTAAAATGTAAGGGTGCATATTTTGATTTCCCAAAGGAATACACTTACAAAGTCCCTTATTAGTGTGGCAAATAGAAATAGAAGTTTTAACTGAAGTGTGAATGTGCTAAATTATAACATTACACAAGAAGATAAACAGCAGAATCATTCCAAGTCAAAGGTTTCAGGTAAGCAACTTTTACATATAAGCAATTATTATTATTTTTTCAAGAAACTAATTAATAAGTTTTTAACAGTAAAACTATGTAAGTGGTATTGTAATAAAATTATAGTTTTAAATTTGTTTTGTTTTGTAACTTGACTAAAAAAAGAAAGCCTGCATTATACATAAAAGAATGTAGGAATGTAAAGAATGTAGGAAGAGCTTCTTCATTTCATAAATACAGTATGTTAGAAATTTTAAGTTTGAGAAAATAATTATAGAAATTAATCAGTAAGTAACAATATCATTAATATGTACAATATTACCATCAAATCAAACTATAGAATTAACCCCAGGTACGCTATTACTACAACTTTCATGCTATAAACATTTTCCTTGTGTTGTCACAGTGTGAAGCAGATCAACAGTAATTGTTTTTATTAGTAAGCTTCATTCCTTTCATTGTTGTAATTCAGCTTTCATGGTGCAGTAGATATATAACCATAACTAGACAGTCTAGAGTAACAAGCTGTTAGGAGAATGACAGTTCATAACAGAAACAGCATTAAATAAGACTTTTTCTTTTGCAGACACAAAGCAATGAGGAGCAGCCTGGAGCAACGTGCTTGTTCTTCAGTGGCTTTAAAAGGTATCTTGCTTTGTTTCTCAGTTTAGTCAAAGATTTTAGAATTGATAGGAAAGAAGTGTCACAGTACCCAAGTACCCACAGTCACAGTACCCAATAAACATTTTTCAGTTCTTAATAAATATAGCTATTAGGCACTATTTACAAATCTACTTTTATTCAAACTCTTTATGACACTTTAATTATCCCCCGCCGATGGAATCAGGAGGGGGATATAGTTTTGGCGTTGTCCGTCCTTCCGTCCGTCCATCCGTCCGTCCGAATTTCGTTTCCGGAGTAGTTCTCTGCAACTAATGGCTGGAATTCAACGAAACTTTATGGGAATGTTGATCAGCATGTGAAGTTGTGCACCTGGGTATTTTCGTCTGGATATTTTTAGTATTTTTAGAGTTATTGCCCTTGACTTAGTAAAAACGTGACCGAATTTTCGTTTTCCGGAGTAGTCTCTGCAACTAATGGCTGGAATTCAACGAAACTTTATGGGAATGTTGATCAGCATGTGAAGTTGTGCACCTGGGTATTTTCGTCGCACTGGATATTTTTAGTATGTTTAGAGTTATTGCCTGTGCCCTTGACTAAAACGTTGGGGGGGGGCGCGTGGGGGGGGGGGGGAAAGTCTGAATATTGTCTGAATTTCCGGAGTATGTTCCCTCTGCAACTAATGGCTGGAATTCAACGAAACTTTATGGGAATGTTGATCAGCATGTGAAGTTGTGCACCTGGGTATTTTCGTCTGGATATTTTTAGTATTTTTTAGAGTTTTATTGCCCTTGACTGGAGTAAAATTTTGTAATTTTCAACTTGTGTCGCATGTAACTCAAAAAGTATTTGACCTAAAGTCAATGAAACTTTACAGGAAATGTTGATCAGTATGTGTAGTTTGTGCACCTGGGTATTTTGTCCGGATATTTTTTACTATTTTTTTAGAGTTATTAGTGCCCTTGACTAAGTAAAATTTTGCAATTTTCAACTTGTGTCGCATGTAACTGGCAAAAAGTATTTTGACCTAAAGTCATGATACTTTACAGGAATATTGATCAGCATGTGTAGGTTGCGCACCTGGGTATTTTTCGTCTGGTATTTATTTTAGTATTTTTAGAGTTATTGCCCTTGACTTAGAAAATGTTTGCAATTTCAACAAGTGGTCACATGTAAACTCAAAAGGATTTGACATAGAGTCATTTAACCTTATTGGGAAAGTTGCTCAGCATATTTAGTTTGTTCCTGGGGTGTTCGCTTGCGGATTTATCCAGTATTTGTAGAGTTTATTTCCCTTGACTTAGTAAAAAACTGTTTCATTATGTTGTTATTTGATCCTTGAGTGCTTGAGTTAGAATCGACCAACTTTACAGGAATAATGATCATATCACTAAATTACAGGAATAATGATTCACCCACTGTGAAGCTATGAACCTGGGACTTTTGCATGTGGATTTTTTTCCGTTTTTTTAGAGTTTTTTGCCCTTGAATTACAGTAAGTATAGATTTGCAATTTTCAACTTGGGGTTTGCTTGGGGAATATTATTCAGTATTTGTAAAGTTCTTGCCCTTTTACTTAGTAAAAAGATTTTTAGTTTTTCAAAAAAATATTTTGACCTAGAGTCATAAGATTGACAAAATCAGTGGCGCGGGGGGGCACCCGTGTTCCTATGGGACATCATTTCTAGTTTTTTTATTAAAGAAGAAATTAAAATGATTTTTTTCAATAACATTTAAAAATTTTGAAAATTGTGAGATCCCTTCTCTTGATGCCTTGAAAATGGCCAATGAAGTCTGGAGATTAAGATGTTTTTAACATACTAGGTGAGCTATGTGATCCCCCCCTTCCGTCGTCGTGCACGTTAGTCAGCAATTTTCTTTAAACAACATCTTCTCAGAAACAATGATGCCCCTGCACAGCAACCAAACTTTACAGGAATGATCCTAGGGTGGTCCCCTGCCAAAGTGATCAAATGGTTCCGGTCTTGTTGCATAAGTAGGTCACAAAGGAGTTTCAAAATGCAAAATTAAAAAATCTTGTCTAAAGTACAAGGCCTAGAGCTTTGATATTTGGTATATGATATAACCTATAGGTCCTCTACCAAAATTGTTCCCCAAATTTAGCCCTGGGTCAAAATTGGCCCCACTCCAGGGGGTCATAGATTTTCTTTATATGTATATAGTGAAAACTTCTTCTTGTTTGAAGGTACAAGGCTTCAAGTTCAAAGAATATTACAGTTTATGCCATGATTAATATATAAATAAAGCCTTATGTCTTCAGTTGTTGTGTTAATAATAACCAGTACTCGGCGGGGGATATAAATTCAACGAATTTGCTTGTTTACATTTAAATTTTAGAGTTTTTGTACACCTAAGTTTGAAAATTTTGTCAAATATTTATGCTGATGAAGGTTCGTTAAGAACTGAAACTGGAAGATTATTAAATTACTTAACCTGCACTGATGTTGACGTGTTGTATTTCTTTATTTCTTTCTTATTTTAAAATTTTGGAGTTGTATACATATACTGTGTTTCATTTTCTGTCTTTACTTATTGGATATTGATAATTATATTTTAGGACCAGTGATGGCAGAACTGAGGCACTATGCCTCAAATGAGAATGGTAACAACAAGGCTCTTCAAGAATGCTATTCAATATAGAGAGAGGATTAAAGGCGGCTTCATTGTTTGGTATGAGGAAATGGAACAGAGAGTCTGACGCCAGACCTGCTTGTGCAGACAAGGCAAAACTTAAGTTCGTTGAAAGGTAACTAATGAACTGAATGAAAATACTCATTTTTGATTCTGGCGTATATTTCCTAGCCTTGGAGTATTAATAAATAAAAAATTCTTCCACGTTC